CACCTTTTGCGCACACGTCCATGCAGGCTTGCCGCGAGACAAAGTTGTTGTTGCTCCCACCGCAGCCTGAGTAGACAAACTCCTCACACGTCTTGGTGGCTGTGTTATAGTAATAGCGAGGTATGGTGGCTGAACACTTCCCTTTGTCCAGAGGATCCCGGCAGAGCACGGGGATTGCTGTAACACAAGGAACACAACACAAGGAAGAGCTCGCCAGTTATTGTTTAATCATTTCCTTGTGAATGCAATGACTTTGTCTATTGTGTATCCTCACAGGGATGACTCAGGGGGGTAATCTGCTCACCTTTTTTTGGACTGCAGTACTCCATGCAAGAGGCTAGATTAAGGAAGCGGTTTGAATTCCCCTGGCAGCCACCGTAATTAAATGGCTCACACTGCATGGTGGTCATGTTGAAGAAGTAGCGGGAGATGAGACCCCGGCAGGGTCCCTCTTCTTTAGGAAATCTGCAGATTGGGGGAACCTCTGTGGAGAAGAATGGGAAAAAAATCAACATTTAACAGTGAGATCTGGTGAAACAACACTAATTAATTCATATGAACAGGTTAACAACCAGAGAGGCACTGGCTAGTTTCCTAAAAATGAAATAAAATGGACATGCCTAAGGTCACCATCACTGATGTATCTGCCGAATGTCAGTTGATACTGAAAGAAAATGTAATTTATCTGTGTCAATGCCCAATACTTATGTGTTGTGGGCTGGCTAAATGTTCAAAGATGATGTAAAGAAGAGCTGAAAAATTTTAGAATAACATAAATAATTTCGTGTTTAATGACAATATTTTTTCTCCTGGAAGAGAAGGCAGGCTTAGTAGGAAAATCAAAAGCTAAAGATCAGCTAAATTGTTACTTAAAACATGCGTACTGGCCCAGAATTTCATCCCTAATGATCCATGTATCATATCGATACAGGAATACCATGTATATAGATATGTATATAGGTATATAGATATGTAAGTAAATAAATTCAAATAATCTGAACAAGTAGGCTCACTTCATTCATCCCCATTCTAAGATAATGTTAGTTGACTTTAACGTTACAAACCTGCATTAAATCAGCTCAACTGGAAACCCATCCAGCACACATTTTGGCTGGTTTGTAGGGAATTAAATACTTATTTCACTCAGTGACATGCAAATCAGTTTATACCTTTTGTGTAATGTGTTATTTCTGGAGTTTTGATTGATATTCTGTCTCACTCTCCATTGAAATGAACAGAGTCTGTTCATTTCTTTCTAAGCAAACTTGACATACTTTACTAACATTATTTCTCCCACTGTAATTCCCAATTTGACCTCATTCAATGACAAACTGATATATTACACTGACTTTGGCTTTATCCTTTAGGTTTTAGAAGTAAAAAAAAAAAGTGAAGTGAGATAACTTTATCTTATTGGACAAAACTGATTTTGACAAAGTTTCATTTTGAGGACATAGATGGCTGTTGGAAATGTAAGTAAACAGCAATATATGTTAATGCAATACTCAGCATATGACAATATCGTAAAAATCGCAAAAATATCACATGTTTAGGGAAGTATTGTGATAATATTATATCACGTGTTGTCTGACTCCCACCTCTAATAACTCACGGGTCAGGCTACTTACTGGGAATTTTGTAGCATGTCTTGTGGCACTCCTGAAAACTCTTGAAGTTATTGTCATTCCCTTGGCAGCCTCCATATTCGAAATCCTCGCACCTCTGGGTGATGGTGTTGTAGTAATACCTCTGGATATTGCCTCTGCAAGGTCCCTCGTCCACTTGAAGAAGGCACACGCCTGAAAAGCACCAAGCAGATTTTTATTGAAATACCCGAGGACCGTTGCAAGGACACGGAAAAGAAAGTTTAAGCAGTGCTTAACAACATGCGCCAAACTGGATCTGTAATACGCCCGAGGTCATGTGATAACCAACAAGCTCAGAACTGCTGTTTTAAAAAAGTTGATGAAAACATTGAAGAAGCGCGAAGAAGTAATTAAAAAACAAAACATGATGTGGAGTTACCTTTAGGTGGCAGCGCCAAAACGCAGTAAAACGAGGAAATTATTGTAAACAGAGCAAATGCGCAAAGCTCCATTGTGCAAAGTTTTGGTCGAGATCCAGACTTTTCCGCTCTGTCTACCATCCCCACTCAGACCTTGTTTTATAGCACAGTCGGGAAGAGGGACGGGCATGTACTGAGTCAGCGCGCCAAAGAAAAGAAATTATTGCAGTTGATTAATGACGTCAAATTCTGAATTACTTGGAGGAGCGCTAAATCATGTGACTAAGTCTTAATAAAATATGAGGAGGAACTTGCTCTGCTTGAGAGAGTCAGATATTTTCACTGCCACAGGCCACTGGTTCTAGTGATGATGATGATGATGGGAATGTGCACCAATCCAGTAACACACACAGCATCCTTGTAAAATTTCCACAGAGCCAATATTGCGTTGTATCTAGGGACACACACGCTTGTGAAACATTAACACATCTTTCTTGTCTGAGCCACACAGGCAAGTCCCCACCAGAATACCCGTCTGACCGGATCCGAATCCACACACACACACACACACACACACACACGCACGCACGCACGCACGCACGCACGCACACACACACGTACTTCCACTCAGAGTCACATTAATAGTACTGTGGCTCATGTTATTTCATGATAAAAGCGCTTCTTTCCACGATGTCCTACCATGAGAAATCAGCCTTATCTGCAAGTTAAGTTAAAACTCACATTAACATTTGTATTGGTTTAACACAGCAGCTTAATTCCATCCCACTGCTTTGGTTTTACCTTTATGAAGCATATTAACTGGAAAACTGCCGTGCATTCACGTTTAGAAGAACGACGTGTCTCCACCTTGACAGGTGGAGGCTAAACACAGATTAGCCGTCTTATCAAAATTAACCTGATAAATGAAGCGCCACCCCTTAACCCATATCCAAATGAGCCTGCAAGAAATCTCAGAGTTAAAATAGAACAAAAGTTACAAATTGAATCTATAAAAGACAAAAAGATACATCACCATGTTTTGTTTTGTTTTTTACATCAAGGGAGCTCAAATGGACACCTGTGTGAGTTGCCCACCCCTTCCTTTGTGTACTTGAGCTGCTGGTATGATCATTCAGTGGGGCCTTGTTTTAATCAGATTAGGGGATTAGAATTGTTTATGCTGATTACTTTATAACCCAGATTGAGAGAGAGGAGAGGGATTCTTCAGCAGGATTTCAGGGGTGAAGGACTGCTTCCTGTAAGCGTTCGTAAGTGCATTCATATCCCTTCTGCTAAGTCTTACGAATTGTGAACATTTTATTTAAGATTATTTATTTATCATGTGGAAGTAAGCATTAACAAAAAGGTTAAATGTTTCCTTTTTTTTGACAGAAAATGCCGGTCATAAATGTGGAGGATCTGACAGATAAGGACAAGGCTGTGATGGAAGTAAACCAGCTTAAACTTGAAGTCAAACTCGAGAGGTGGTTGGTAAGTTCTCCACAATGTGGTGATTTGTGTGCTCAGTATGCATTTTTGATTATATCCAAAAGTAAATATCAGACAGCTTCAATTTATTTAGTCAAACTAATTCCATCACAAAGGCTATTCAAAACTGAAATACGCTTTCTGTCTGCTGCTTTCAGACATCTAAATGCTGTGAGGAAATCAAGGACTATATTCAGGCTCTAGTGGAGGAGGACACCCTCGTTAAAGGCATATCAGAGGAGAAGAACCCCTTCAAGGAGAAAGGTGGCTGTGTCATCTGCTAGACTGGACCTAAGGAGCTTTTCATATCTCAGATTAGTACCCAAGGACGTTCACCCAGCCCTTGTAAAATGGATTTGCAGACTGAGATGACTAGAAGGACACAATAAAGAAAACATTTATGATTTCCCGAGTAAAACAATTCTTCATCTTGGGGCCAGATTTGTAGCCTTCTAATTCTTTTTTAAAATTTTTTCTTTTGTTTTGTTTTGGGAAAGATGCACTAATTAAAAGTTGTATTTGGCAAGTGTTACATAATGCTTCTCTCTCATGTGGTGTATATAGTCTGAGCACATGGGCCCATATGTTGTTTCATTCACAGAAGCAACTGTCATTAAATGTGCACATTTATAATTCAGCCTGTCTCTGTGATTCACTGAAGGGTTGTAGAGAAAGTAGAGAAACAGATAAATCTTCATAACTTCATTTGCATACATACAGAGGGTTTTTTTCTCTCCAAGCCTTTATGTGATCATTGCTATTTTGTTCCAATAATGATGGTGAACATCAAATTTGAGATTTTATTCCTTAAAGTACGACGGGTTTGCGAGTCTTCTCCTTATTTTTTTTTTGCTCATTTCATTGTAGATTGAATTTATTTTAAATCTTCTTTCTGTAGTTTCAGGCAGACTCCAAAAAGTTTTAAGGCTTTATTAATACAAGTACTTGAACTGAACACAGCAGACTAGATGCAGCACTGATAGAAAAAGAAAATGTTGTGTCTATCTAAAACCAATCCTGTGGAAAATAGGACTTTCTCCAAAGCCGCTTTCAATTTGCAGATTATTTCTGCTATAAAGCCCTCCAGGATATAAAATGAGTATCATAATATGTTTCATTTCTTTCCTATTCTGCAACATGCTTTAACACGCTTTCTGTCAGACAGCATAATTATTAGTAAAATTAATCCATAATGAAAATAAAAATCAATTGCATTTGGGCTCAAAATACTTTAAAAACAAAACCCACAGCCAAAAGCGATAGTAAATCTTGCTATTACATTGATGATAGTAACAATGTAACAACGTTAGATAACTTACATGGCTACTTTCAATGCTTGCTGGTGATAGAGTAATTATTTACACACCAGGGTACCCAATTTACGATATATTTTATGACAAAATTTCCCCCCAATAATGGTGGGAAGTCAAGCTCTGCTAATATTTTACTTTCCCACTGGGTTAATATTTGACCCAGTGAGAACTTCCTACCAGCGCATGCGCACACACGTACATATTGTTGTCAACAGAGATGGCGCTGCGCGAAGGAGCCCTGCGTTTAAACGTGCTGGTCAGAAGCCGTCATTTTTACAAGTTAACTTCACTGGGTGTTGGTGCCCGCTCGTTGACTGAGAAAGTGTCATCTAAACAAGTAAAGTCCAGTGCCCCAGAGACCGCGGCCGACCACTTAATCTACACACAAGAGCACTTTGCATTAAAGGAGTCCCTCAGAAAGGTATGCAGGACTGCTAACACCAGGAAGTTTTGAGACAACAACGAAAACACAGCATGTTTTTAGCGAAGAGACAGTTGCAACAGCAGTGTTATTCTCCCTAACATGACCCTAAAATGAGCGCGGGGGGCAGTAAAGTAAAAGTAGGTGAGAGGTCAGTGCTAGCTTGCTCCTCCGCTAAGCTGCGTTGACGTCTCCTGTCTGCTCTTCATGCCCACACAAAGGAATCAGGCGCCAGTGTTTAGGTCCAGCTTTTTAGTGCTTGTTACCGCTACATTTGAAAAGTAGTTTTATTTTATGTGTCCGCAAATAATGCATGTTTTGAAGGACAGAAGAAGAACAAGACAAAACGCCAGGTTGGCTAAGGCTACTCTGTTTACAGTGACGAACACAGCCGCCGGGGTTGTGTCAAAAGGTGATTTCCGGTGTTTCCATGTGTTTTTTTTTTAATGTCTAATATCTTTGCTCATGTTGGTAAATAGGTTGTAGTTAACAGGAACTACTAATAGGTTATATGTGTTATAAAGAAATAACTGTTTTTGCAATAAGCCACGTTCTTTTGCAAGAGACCGCGTTAATGTACCTACTTAGTGTTCTAGTGCAAGCAACACAGTCCTTTTTGGCCACTTGAAATATCTTTATAGAAATGTTATGTTGTACTTTTTGCAATTTCTGCTGCCCTCTTGGTCGATCTCTCTTGAAAAAAACATTTTTAATCTCAATGAGTGCTTTTACCTGGATAAGCAAAGGATATATGAAAGTCTCTTTGCTAAAAAAATGATTGCAGCTTCTACCTTGTGACCAGAAGTTGTTCATTGTTGCACAAATTGACTTGATATCATTCACAAACGACATGTTTGACAAATTATAGGCCAACAACTCATTTTCCATAGTTTAAATACTTGCAGAAGACTTTTGGCATATACAGTAAATTACTTTTTGGCACAACACCAGCTTGTATGGATTCATGACCTACCGTGCACTCCCACATCCTGCTAATTAATGTCAGCCATGCTCTCGCCAACATGCACAGCATGTTTATATGTGTCCGTTCAGATTTGTTATATTCAAGGAGCTGTTTAAGGAAACGGAAGGTTTTGCCATATGGAAAAGATATATATAAATCTTATAAAGTTTGTATCTGTCTTGTGTGAAACTTGTATGAAAAGCATATAAGAGTGAAAACAGATATAAGATCCCTTGAAAAATTATATAATGAAACTTGTATGTTTTGGATACTTACTAAAACAATGTATGAAAGTAATGCGAAAGTGGCCACTTTCATGAGTAAATCATGTAAGCCTTATATGATTTACTCATGAAAGTGGCCACTTTCATGAGTAATCACATATAAGTTTTTACTATTTCTTTTCCGTATGGGTTGATGTGCATGTTTATTTGTTAAATGAATAATCAGAAGCTGTGGTGTGGCGTGCTCGTGTGCACATTGATAAATATAAAACAATAAAGTAGTAAGAGCACATTTAAAAGTTATTTATATAGGATATTAGAGGTGAAGTCTATGTTTTTCACCATTAGCCCTCTTTGAAGGACAGTTATGACTGTGCTCTGACTTAAGTCACATTTGGGGTCACAATGAAACCATTGTTTGAGGGGACAAGTCCCCAAATGCCTGATATCAGTTGGTTTGTTGGTGGTTTATTTTTGTGTCTAGATAAATACTGATGGTGATTGGAGTAATGAGTGGGTCATGGCCTTCACATTAAACAGGTAATCAGGCCAATGTACTTTAGCCTAAACAGACCACATTTTTGTTTGTATCAAATAAATAGTTGGCTGGGAATCAAATAGTGCGTATCACTTATCTAGGAGCCAGAGCTGGTGTTCTTCCTCTGGCTATAGAGGCTGGCTGTCAGAATTAATCATTTAAGATTGTCATTTATGCTTATTTAATCATTTGTATGCTGATAAAGTATCCTATCCTTATTTGGTCTGATAAGAGTCTGTGTGCACTTGTGTACCATGAGATGAGCGGAAGCAGTCTCGACGTTATAGTTCCATTATAGCTTTTGAAACCACACTGTTCCATTTTCTTAAAAGTTCGAGAGTTCACACCTTTAAATAAGACATGACCTGTTGCAGGTCATGTCTTATAGTTTAGCAAGACGCTTACTTCTGCATACAGTTTAAGTTCATTGAAATTCGTATGTCTATGTATGACTGGAAACACACACACACACACACACACACACACACACACACACACACACACACACACACACACACACACACAATACAGACAGTGATGTTGCTTAAGAATACTTAAGAAAGTATTTGTAATTGCATATTCAAGAATGATTGCTTGCTGACAATAAAAAGTGATGTAGCCAATAGAGGTGGGAATCACCATACATCCCACGATACGATATTATCACAATACTTAACGCACGATGCGATATTATTGCAATTTTTTAAAATATTTTGCGATATTCAGATTCTGTACATAAAGGCAAACTTTATCAATATTCATTTTATCTAATATCAAAGTCTCACACTCAGTCTTTCTCTCATTTCAGTCAGTTTTATTGTTGACAAACTGAACGGTTTGTATTACAGTTTAGTCCCAATTTAACTGAATGCAACCATCTGGTACAATTATAGCTATTCTGAACTATGCAATATGAAAACTATGCAGCCCCTTCAGCAACTGAAGAATTTGAAAGTAAATTAAAACAAAATATAATTTTACATTAAATAAAAAAGTTTTAAACTTAATTAAAATAAAACATGTCTTAAATTAAAAGAAGTAAACTGTCATGTTTATTGCTGCCAAAAAACAAGTTAAACACATTTGGACAGTGAAGGAATGTCAGGATTCTTGCTCAGAAAAAGGATCAACATGCTCTGAGCACAAAAACCTTTTTTGTAACAAAATATTGATTTCTGCTGTCCCTGTATCGATACATTATTAGCAAACAAAATATCACGATACTACATAGTATCGATTTTTTCCCCCACCCCTAGTAGCCAAAGGAATCAGTTGAAGTTGGTTGAGTTCAGGTGAAGGAATCTTTTCCTCAACTTTGACTGACTAACCTCGCGAGCCACAAAGACAAAGAGCTCTGTCTTGCCTTGTTTTGTTGTGCAGTTAGTTGGTCTCGTGTTCCAGCGGGGTTTGTGCCTAGATAAACCCAACACTGGCATTTTCAGAATTATTATTGAGGTTGTTGAAAACTAACAGTCACAGCTGTGTGATGGGGGAGAATCTGTTTGTGAGTCCAGTTTTATATTTTCAGTGACAAGCCCCTGAAATATTCTCTTGTACAGAAGACCTGAACTTTGGATTGTTGATTTGATTTAGTTTGTTTCTATTTGCTAAGTTTGTCTAAAAGGCCAGGCAGAGAAGGTGAGATGGACTGTTTTGCTCTTTGCTTAAGCAAGGGTAGGTTGTAAATACACATTAAGTGAGGGTTTTACATTTTAACTGAGATAATTTAAAGGGCCTCGGGTGTCTTGGATTCATTTTGATGCCAATACAATTATGTATTGGCCTTCCTTATCAGAGATTTCTGGGTTTTTTGTCCCTTTGTTACAGTTTGTGCTTCCTGGCATTCAAAGCTTTGGGTTTTTAAGGGCCTAAATATTAGTAGCTCCAAATGATGGTATTAAAAAAAATGATAGGAACCATTAGTAATTAGTCTGACTCATTTAGAATTTCTATTACTATAGTGACATTGGCAACAAAGTCTGAAAAAATAACAATAAGAGCTTAATTTAAGGCAAAGCTGTTGTAGTAAATAGAAGGAAGTTTATTGTCTGACTAAACCTTTTAAGGATGCCAGAAGGTCAAAAATAAAATAGTACTGGGAAAACTGGGAAGGGTTTATAAAAATTAAAAGGAAATACAGGACAATAAGTTGGAAGTGCTGGAAAGGGAACTCAAGGGGGAGCAGTTTATTAAAAGAGCCGTACTGTCTTTGTTTAGAGGTGTCAAACGGGGTTTTAGGAAATCCTTTTGTTACTGCTGAAGGTTAGACGCTCACAACGCCAATGTTTCCACAACTAATTTAATACGAGTGGGTTCGTTTACATCTTAGAATCTTGCCGGGAAATTAGTTTTCAGAATTAGAATGACTACATCTTCAGTGCCTGGAAGTTCAAGTGCTTTAACAGATAAAATTAGCAAAAAATTATAGGAAGAGACTACTCACATTGACCTGTCAGACGGGAATTTCTGACAGGTCAACAAATACAAATATTTCTGAGATATTACACAACAACAATGAAGGTGATTGGCCTGTAATGTCTTTTATTGTTTTATGTAAGAAGTAAGGCTTTTTTATTTTCTATTTTTGTCTTGTAAAATTGGTCAAGTTTTACATTTATTTCCTATCTACGTGGTACTTTATATTGTAAGGTAATATTAATACAATATTAAACAGAAACACAAACAATCAGACAGCCTACTATAAGCAAGATCATGGCAAAAGTGTGGAGGAAAAACACCCTTTTAACAGGAAGAAACCCTGGCAGGCTCAGGGAGGGGCAGTGTCTGTTGAGACCTACTGGGAGAGAGATGGGACAAAAGGCACACTAATATAGGGCCTGTTTATTCAAGACCTTGTATGTAAGGAGAAAGATTTTAAATTGAATTCTGGATTTAACAGGGAGCCAATGAGAATGTCAGTATGGGAGAAATATGGTCTCTGTGATCTAATAAAAGAAGGCAAGTCCTTCATATTTGTTTAACATGTGCTCTGACAGACATATCCTGGTGAAAAAATGACTAATTTCTTAAAGTTCTACTGGAGGCCAAGGTGATGTCATCGAGAGTTAGTATCAGGTTAGTCACCATGTTTAGGATGTCTTTAGGACCCATTATAAAAACCCTTTTTTTGTCTGAATTTGGAATTTGGATTTGATTTGTGTCATCTGGCTTCATATAGAGTCAAATATAGAGTGTCATCTGCATAGCAATGAACATATATTCAATGTCTTCTAATAATAATAATAAGCATTTGAAAAAAATGAAGGATAGAAATGGCATTATAATTAGCTGATACAGCTGGTTGAAGAAAAATGTTTACTTACAGTTACCTTAAAAGCCCGTGATACGTAGTCTGTTATTAATATATTTGATGTTTTGCATAGAGGATAATTTTACATTTTGCACTCTGAATATTAATTAAGCAGCAGAAAGATAGACAGATTGCTCATAGGCTTCAAGGTTTGTCACACTTAATCAAAGTAATTTGCCGGATGTATTGATAAGTTTTGAATTCATTATGATCAACAATAACAGTATTATGAAAATACAATGATTTTTTTGATATGGGCTGCATTGTATGTAGGGCTGCCACGATTAGTCGACTAGTCACGATTAGTCGACTATTAAAATCGTCGACGACTGTTTTAGTAGTCGACGCGTCGTTTGAAGCTTTGTAAGATCCCAAAAGACACAGGGATAAGTAGTAGTATTTAAGAGTGTAATAACGGACTGAAACAGAAGATGGCAGCACTGCATGTACAAGGATGCCAGCTGCCGTTAAACCCCGAAGAAGAAGAAGCTGTGTCCCAGAATTCATAGCGCGGCCCAGCGCAGTTGTCAACAATGGCGGCAGATAGTTGTTTTAATATTACTCTTATTATTCTTTCTGGGTCACAAAATAAAGTTTAGCATATTTTCAGGCGAGAATGTAGCTGTGTAAACCTCAAATATCTGCTCAGTTTATCAAGCCACATATTTTCAAAAGAGCTCCGACGTTTTCGGAGACGTCTGTTACCCACTAGCTCGATAGCTAGCCGGGGGCAAGGCTCACTAGAGCCCGTGAGAAGACCGGACTCCCGGCAAATGTTTTCAACCCACCGCCATCTTTCGCTACTCAGGTTAAACATGATATATAAGTCACTTAGATAACTTAAAAATGTTATTGTTTGGCTTTTTTTTAGTATTTTATTTGTACCTGAGTAAATCGGTTTGGCTGAGATTAAAGTTATATTTTTTACACAGTTGAATAAACGTCAAGCAGACAGCTGATTATCAGAAGTGTGAGATGCTCGAGAATATACTCCGGTGTCCCGTTATATTTTAGATAGCAAGGAGCAGACGGCTGAGTTTATTAAACTTCACCGAAACAATCTGCAGATGTCATTAAAATTTAATAAACTATCATCTTGTCTTTATTTTTAGTTAGCACATACCTTAAACACTTCAAGCTGTAAGCTAATGATGGTTATATAAGAGTAGATGCATGCTGGTGCAATAATCTATACGTTTTATGTCCAATGGATGCATGATCTGATTAGTCGACTAATCGCAAAAATAATTGGTGACTAGTCGACTATCAAAAAAATCGTTTGTGGCAGCCCCAATTGTATGACATTCAATTATGATGTATGTCAAGGCGCAAGAAGAAAAAATACCCCTTCAGAAGGTCAAAAGCAAGAATGAGTCATCTGTTATTATTATTTTTGTTCCCATTTAATAATGAGTCAGGGATTTTCATGCACCTTCACCTCGTTTTTTTTTTAAACTTCCATTGACTTTAGACTCTTTCAAGACTTTTTCTCCAAATTGGACATTTAGTAAGACTTTTTGTTGCAATGTTTGTGACCTGACCTAACTACATGTCAGGTCAGTGATGTGAAATTCTTCTGTTATGTTGCAAAGGGACTACACAATAACCTTCGTAAGAATTGGGTTGCTCCCACATGACATTTATGTTTCCCTTTCCAGCGACAAATGGACACTCCCTTTCCCTCCGCAGGTTCTGAACGTTAAAAAGAACTAGTGCTTCCTTTTTTTAAATGTTGGTTCTTGTGTTGAAAAGTTCTGTAAGTGAGCCTTTTTTAAAAGAGTACAGCCCAGGTATGCGCACTGTATCAGTGTCAAAGGTATCGTCTGTTTTCTGTTCTGTACGGTGAAATGATGATGGTCGTGTTTTCTTTATTTCTCACCCAGAATGTTGCTTTTGGCTTGTTCAGTAGTTGGCAGGTTTGGGTTTGGGTGTTTTGGCAGCTGAGAATGACCGTGTGCGTGACTTTTTCCAATCCTGAAAAAAACAACAACTTCTGAACGCTTTAATACTGAACATTTAATCAAAGAAACACAAAGAAATAATCCAATAGTTTTGACTTCTCAGAGCTCAGTTTTATTGGCCGAGACTTGAATCTAATTATTCCCATTTCTACCTAATATGTCTTTTTTTTTAATCATTACTTTTTATTGGCTTTTTCCACCATACAGTACATAGCAGAGAAACAGTGAAGGAGCAAATAGTCATGGCTCTGTTGAAAACATGGCCCATTAAAGAAAGCTTATTAACAAATAGCAAGTGAAGATGCCTCAGTGGATTTTTAGAAACATTAAAAAATGGACGGGTACAGTTACACCACATAAGTTTTTATTTTCTGTGTTTACGTGTTAATTGATTCGCTTGCCTGGCAGCACTTGATGCTGAGGTTATTTTGCAGAAGATGTTGATGTTCTGTTAGACCTGCTGTGTGAGGGAGAATTGTTTTAGAAACTGACAAACATGGTACCAGATGAACTGTAACCCACACTATGGATGTAGCTATTCTCTGGGAAGTATTTGAGTTCATTGGTGCTTCACCATCTGGGGACCACTTCCAGGTGCTTGAAATGAATCATGGCACCAGAGTTCAATGATTTCACAGTCTGCTTGAAAAACTAGGGTGCAACCTGGTCTATACTCACTACAGACACTTTGATGACTCAGAAAACACTGTTAGAGGACACTGCAGCTTTCATTTGGATTCAGGAGACAAAAGCAAAAGCTGCTCTCAGTGTTGATGGATATTATGTAAATTTGAGTTTCAAGATGACCACAAAACATTTGTTCTTCGCATATAAATCATTATTTAGTTAAGTTTAGTTTAAAAAAATAGCATGAAGCTAGGCTCACTTTTGTGTGTGTGTATGTATGTATATATATGATATGTTAGCATGTACCTCAACAAGTCATCATTTTACCTCTTAGATTATGAAAGTTGTCCCTTGACCACAGATGCAAGCTTTACAGCTTTTTCGTTCCACTCTAGAATCATAAAACATGCCACAGTCATCCTTCATTTTGAGGCAGCTGTATCCCGGGCTTTGTGGCTGAGTACATGGAGTGGCTGCTAACCCAAAAAGAATGCCATTGGTATGGGTTTCAGCACTGAGATTTAGTTTTGCATGCTGATCTAAATATTACTTTGGAGGTTTTTCCTGCAGTGCCAAGAACAAAATGATGGGGGAGAACACTGAGTCATTAAAATATTGGCATTCAGTGCATACTAAAGATCTGCACAATATTAGCTTCCAGCTGCATCAGTACAAAAGTGCTCAGCATAAGCCCTCAAAACGCAAGCGTGCACTGATAGCATATACATGTTGAGAATAGCATGCCTTTCATGCTGTCGCCATATTCATCATGATTGTGGGCCAACCATATAATACTTTTTCTATTCATTGATATGTGATACCTTCTGTTTCTGTCTGCTTGAAGTAGGTTACGTAGATTTTAGAATATATGTGCACTACACAGCAGGAAGCCGACTATATATAAAAATCATTTTAAGTGCTTTCCCACTCTCATGTCCTTTAGGTCTTATGACACAGGAGACAAAAGAGCAGGGCTGTCAGCTGTTGTTAGAATCACATGATGGTTACAACAACAAGGAAGAAATGAATGCAAAACAAAACAAATGCTTAAAATTCAAAGAAACAGATATAAAGATTTCATGTGCACCGTAAAGTAGAAGTACAGATACAACATCATACCTCTCTTCTGTGGTGTTTGTGCCATAGCTCATCGACCAGGAGATCAACCCTTACGTCGATCAATGGGAAGCAGAAGGGAAGTTTCCAGCCCACAAGCTCTTCAAGATCTTAGGAAATGCAGGATTTCTAGGAGTCAACAAACCAGTTGGTAAGACACCTAATATTATCTTTCGGGTAATGCAGTAAACCCTTCTAATATCAGTTTCTAGGATAGTGTCCAGTCCTCACTCGTGTTTTTTGTGAGGTTTGGCATGGAATGGCACATGAGTGAAATGAAACCATCTGCATTGTTGTTAGATCTCTTAGAGACTTGCAGTGTATGCTGGGATGGGTTCCAACACCTGTGATTTTGATAAACGACGAGTTTAATTATCTGGTGGGGTTCATGCATTGTTAGGAGGAGAGGGATAAGGAAAGGCTTTGTTTCATCAAAAGCCTCAGAAGCCTTTATTTTGGAGAAAGCTTGTTTTCTACGGCGAGATCTAAGCTATAATAGCCGTCGCACGAAGGTGCCAAATTTAGTGCAGCATTTTGCTTTTTTGTTGTGTCTTACACACGAGGGTATTTTTAGGAAATGAATAATAATAAAAAGATGAAAGAATGACTTTCTCTAAGCACGCAAAGTGCTAAAAAAAACAAACTGGCGTGGTTTTTACTTGCTTCCTATTTTCTTTATATTGACCTTAAAAGTATAAAGGCAATCGGTGCTCGGCTTATGTTTGCAATATGTGTATTTATTACACAAGAATGACTTTGGCAGTATTAGAGGGCATGTCGCGACGCAGACTTTTGTCCATTTATATTTCTTGCTCTTTCCCGTTGGTAATCCATGCAGACGTGAAGACTGATTAATCATCCAGGCCTCAGTCTACATGATAAATGCTGCTTGGTCAAGCTGTTTATCTTGCCATTGCAAAAACCCCATGATGAATTTGTAACATAGCTAACATATCCCACAGCGCACTCCAAACCGAGGAATCCTCCGCCGTCTGCCCATTTTGACCATTTCTGCTTCAGCAAACATGCAGCACATCTCTTTCACAGCTGAATTCATGGTCCGTTTGCTTTTCTCTGCTTCTGACAGCCATTCATTATGAGTCGGGCTTACAAACGTTCCCACTGTGATGATGGGTGCTGGTGTCACAGCAGCATCCCACTACAGCTGTCTGAAACTGACTATCCTTTTTTCCAGATGTATATCCAGCTGGGTCGTCGCTGCGATGGTGGGAGGCAGTGAGAAATTTACAGTACAGGACCACGAAATGTGTGCGGTTCTATGTGTAATCCATTATGAATATGAAGCGAGACTTATGGGAAGTGTTTGATAATCAAAAGCAGATGTTTTATGTCTAGTGTATTGCATTACTCCCACAGTATAAGGTCAGTTTCTCTAAATTAATTAGCCACGTCTGGTCTTTTTTGGCATATTCGAGATCTCGTTCGTTTTCTGACATTTGACGGCGAATAGAAGAAAAGCATGTGAGCAACATTGTTGGACAGTGAGACGTTTGCACCACAAGCCTGTAGGTCAGAGAGAAGGGAGGGTGAGGGAATTAAAATGTGCTGACTACACAAGCATTAAGCATTAGTTGACAAGATTAGAGCGGAGAATCCTCGCAGTGAGAAGACACACTGTATGATCAGGTTGTAGATTAACTGCAATCACGTATGGTGCAAGAAACATGCTTAAGAGATGCCATTTGAAACTACAGCGTCAGCAACAGTCATTAAATGACAGTTGTTAAGGGCATCAAACTGGCATGGTCGAAAATGTATTCTTGCTGTGCAGCATATAGTTGGAGTGGTGCTAACATCAATATTGCTTTCTCCTGCAATAAAGAGAAAAGGATACTCCTGCCCAGTTTGTCTTACCACAGTGACTGCTTCATGACTCCTCAAGGTGCTGCAGAGAGTTAATTAAATTCAGAAATGATTAAAACTGAAAAAGCATGCTTAACTACGCACACTGTCACCACAACGCAGTGATTTTCTGCTTTTGTGTCATGTAAGGGGTATTAGCTCCTCATTTGCACAGACATCATGACGTATCATATAATTGTTTTCAGTCTGTGGAGTGTGCATCTCTTTAAAATCCCCCAGGAAACATGGCTGACATCTGTTTTCTGCACAAACAATGGATTTTACACCTTTACTCATTCGTCTTGCTGAATATCTTTTAATAATAACGGAAAAAAGATCAACGATTCCACTCTGTGAAAATGCATGCTGTCAGAAAAACTACAATAAGCTGTTTATGTGTACCGCACTGCCGACTAATGAAGCAGACTCTCACACAGTTCTGTATTGTGTTAATTGATTCCGACGCTTGGATTACAGGAATGGGAAAAAGGGATTTAGGAGTCTGTTTAATTTAGATGTTATTCATCAAGTGAAAGAGAGACGTGTTTGCCCTTGATGAGAAAAGCGCTTAAGCTAAATACAGTGCAATACAACTCTTCAGAAGTACATAGCAAAGAGTCAGTCATTGCAAAAACATATATTTGTAGTAAAAATGTGAAAGTGTGTTGCGATCGGGCAGCTTGTTCCTCAATGCACGGGAACAAAACTCTGCACAGCAAACAACTGAAAGGTATCTTATGCGTAGTAAATATAAAGCAGTCACTAAAAGATTTGCATGAACTGTTGAAATGTTGTGACACCATTTTCGTTAGTTTTCCGCAGTTGGTGTTGACATTACAAACTGTAGGTTTTAAAGGGCTGTGCAGAAAAATGTCAAATCACTCTAACAGGAAGCCTAAAATAGGAATTAAAGAATATTATTTAAATGCAGTAGTGACAGTGGTAGCTTAACATTTAAGAAGCATTACACACTGTTGACTAAATAGATCTAAGGCAGGGCTTGAATCTCATATTCTCAGTTTTTTTAAAAATAGGAATCAATAAAAGCCATAAAGAAAATCCCCCCGTGTGCAGTCAGAAGACTTACTTTCTGCTCTTTCTCCCTGCACAAGGAAAGACATTTTAACCTTTCAAAACACGAGAACAAAAGTTTTCCCAAGGCAGCCACGTTGAGGAAGAAGAAGAGGATGACCCTTGGCTCACTGACTATTTTCCTTTTCCCTGACAGAGAGGTATCTGCTGACCGTACAGTGGAAATGGCCTTGTGTCCTGCCTGACAGATAGAACCTGGCAGCCCGCGCGTTTTCCCCTTCCACTGAGTGTTTTTCGTGCAGGATTTGAAAGGAGTAACCTTTCGGTGAGACTCGTATGTCCAGGGTGTTACTTTTCTCTCACTTTTTCTCTTCGCCTATACTTTGATGAATACCTTACAGAAGGTTTTTCTGTCCAGAAACATTAGCATAGTGGTTTTAATATGACGTGACACTGTAATGAGGACGATAATGATGCACGCGTTCGCGACTCGACAAAGCAGCACAGTGGCACCTGTGTCCATTGTAATAGTTATTACAGGACAGTATTGCAGAAGGGCTTATGATGGTGATTCATCTTTCCTATCCAGGGACAAGTGACCTGTTTTATTATCGGGTTCCTCATATCAATATTAAGTTCAGAGAAATAAAAGAAATAACAGTGTGTTACACCCATCATCGCTGCAGTGTCTCTGTGCTGCACCTTCAATCCCCAGATTCTTCATCCTTGTGTTTCTCCTTCACGTGGCGCTCCACCCTATGGGAGCCTATAGCGAGGAACATCTGCTTCCCTGAGCAGACATATGTGTATGGGTTTGACATTTGTGACAGGATTTTGCTTTGTTTTTCTTCTGCTTGCTTGTTCAACCAGACAGCCTGCTGTTTTGTTTAAAGTGGGATAAACCTCGGTGCTTCCCTTCGTTCACATTAACCGCTGCAGGGTTTCCAGGGCTCAGGGACTTATCTCTGCACAGCTGCACCTGTTTCCTCTTATTTTTGGCTCCCCCACTCCCTTGTTTGCTTGTCCCTATATATTTTCCCTTTTCTCTGTCCCAATTTATTTGACTCTTTCTGTTATTCGCTGTCCGTCTTCGACGTTCTGACAGACTGCGCTTTCCATTATTCCCCAACTAGTCTGGCAGGTGATATGAAACCACTTTTCTTGAGTTGCCAGCCTCTGTGTGGTAAATTCACTCATAATTATTCATTGTCAGTCAGTGCTGGTATCCATCATTCAGCGGCTGCTGTGCTGTATTTAGTAATGAGAAAACAGCATCGAACATTCACGAATGCTTAGTCTTCTTACATTTGACTGTCTGGTCATTATCATCAGGACATTTGTCCTAAACGAATAACTGTCAGGTTAAATCTGCTTGACCAGCATGATAATTGAGGGATTTTTTTAATTATTTATATATATTTTTGTACTGCAGAATGACAGTTTATCTTCATTGTGTTTTTTCTTTTGACAGGATTTGTTTGCCAAACCAAGCTGAGAGAAAATTCATTATAAATGCGGGTACATCAGCTTCCTGCTTCCATGAGTAACAGATAGAAATTGGTCCTTTCGCATTAAATATGTAATATAACACCAGGTGCTTCATTTTAATTGAGGATAAAAGGCAAAATAAAGATAAGGGATGGGTCTTGGTGAGGACAACTGACATAAATGTGTGTTTTAAACACGTTTATTATACAGCATTCAGCTCGATTACAGACCTTTGCTCTTTGGAAGTATCCCCACTGCCACAATGGAAGAAAATAGACATCAGTTTTTGGTTTCTTTACTTCTTTTTTGCAAATGGGTTGTTGAAGAGATCAAGATCCGATTAGAGATGGTAGTAGAACACATGAGCTACTGATCCCCCAGCAGTGCTTTTTACACATAATTACAGATAACACCGTTAATCATAACACCCTTTAATTAATCTGAGTGCATGCTCCAGTGCCAACAGATCACAATGTTATGTATGTATACCGGCGTATATTGCGCGTGCATGTGTGAGCATGGTGATTTTAGAGATAGAGGATAGATGGAAGTGACACAGGAAAGGATTTGTAAGCCATTCTTTCTGCCTCTTTGTGCTTCGCAGTAAGGATCCACATTTGTTTTTCTTAAGTTTAAATGACTAAAATAGTGATACTCATGAATACACACAATGCGCTGAAGCGTTAAATGTGTTTTGTCTTGTGCAGAATATGGAGGCTTGGGCCTCGACTTCAGCTTCAGTGCAGCAGTGGCAGAGGAGCTGGGCAACATCCGCTGTGGAGGAATCCCCATGGCCATCGGGGTACAAACTGACATGACGACTCCGGCACTGGCCAGGTACAAGCCTGCAAACCTAGCGTCACATTCTCTGAATCCATTCTTACAACGAACGTTGGTGCTTTGCTTGCTTTTGTAACTAATTCCCTGCAGTGGGGAGGATGGTCACACGGGAACAGAGAAAATAAAACTCCTGTCAAAACTGTGGATAATATCGTAGTAACTTTTTGTCAATAATCTTTAGATCAAAGATAGAAAACACTTAGATTTATGGAAAAGTACATGAACTGTGTGAACGGCATTATTTTTTTTGATTTCTTTTAGTCAATCGTTCCTTCTTTTATGTAACATGTAAAACAGTTTTCTTATATTTTTACTATTATTAAACTAGTAAATACCTCTAGTGAGCAGCCATTGATCAGAGTTACACTCCCTAAGCTGTATGTTAATTAATATGCTTGGTAATACTTTTGGTGTGAAGCAAACTGTTACCAAGCATACAGGACCTTGGCTTGTTACGTGATATCCCTTTACTTTAACTCTTGGTGACACAAGACAAAAATTCAGTGAAACAGACAGTCAGAGTCTCGGGAGCTTAATTAGAGGATCTATTCTCGCCTGCGATGAGGTTTAAGTAGTATAAAAGAGCTGCAGATGAGTGGGAGTGATACCGTGTGAGCTCACTCCCACTGGAGCTGTAATTGCCTCAAACATGGCAGTGTTTTTTTTAAAGCACACGATCTGCCACAGTTACACGAGTTTGACGAAACTCTCATTTGACACTGTCCTAAAAATACTGGTAGAAAATAAAACAACAGATGGAAAAACAAAGAGACGGCGTCACATAGTCATTGTGTGTTTGTGTTTGCAGGTTTGGTTCGGATGAGCTTAAGAAGGAGTTCCTCCTTCCCTCCATCAGTGGGGACAAAGTGGCCTGCCTTGGAGTGAGTGAGGTTGGAGCTGGCTCTGATGTTTCGAGTGCGTTTAATATTATATCTTCTTCTTCTCCAGTATCTTTAATTTCCACTAAGGGTTCATGTCTAGTCTTTTAATCTGAGGTTTCCATTTAAACCCCAGTTTTCTGAACACTCAACCACTTTTCAGGTATCAAGACCAAGGCAGTGAGGAAAGGTGATGAGTATGTGATCAATGGGGGAAAGATGTGGACCACCAACGGTACCCAGGCTGACTGGATGTGTCTCCTCGCCAACACCAGTGACGGGCCCCCACATAAGAACAAATCACTCATATGTCTACCCATGAACTTGCCAGGTAGGGTTAGTCGATTTGTTTTAGTTGGCAAAAGACATTTTCTGCAGAAATCCACTATCTGTGATTCATTTCCAAGTTCACGATTGCGCCTGTTTTTGGAAAGCACATAGATTGTTTAATTTTGCGCCCTAAAACAACTTATTATATTGTATTGCATGTTGACGTTCTTTCTGTTTCCTGTCTGTTCCACCGTAGGAGTGCACATCGCCCGAAAGATTGATAAACTGGGTATGTGGTCATCTGACACAGCCGAAGTGTTTTTCGATGACGTTCACGTGCCCTGTAAGAATGTTATCGGCCAAGAAGGCATGGGCTTTACCTATCAGATGCTTCAGTTCCAGGAAGAGAGGCTTTGGGCAGTGGCCAATAGTAAGTGGACTTTACTCAGTGAAGCTTATCTTACTTATTACTCCAAGGATATGATGTCATCTAAAGTTTACTTTCACCCATTCTCCCCCACATCAGCCTCCTACGGATTTTACTGGAAGTTTGCGCAGTTTATGCTCTATTTCAGTTTCACGTTTAGTTTTCAGATAAATGAGGAGCTCAGGACACATAGTTCTAGTAATTTGTAAAGCAGTTGTTTGCTTTTGATTTGAATCAATGTTGCCTTGGGCAGAATGCGTAAGAAACTATTTGTGCTGTTTTTACTGGATCTGATGCTCATGTTAGCCTGTCTGGCTTGGTTGATCCAAACCAGAGTGTCTTCAGCAAAGGTAGATAACACATTTTAGCGGAGGTGTTAAAAATAATCCCGTGTCACCTCCAGTCTTGACCACTATGGACAACGTCATTCAGGAGACCATCCAGTACACACGGCAGAGGAAGATCTTCAAGCATCCCGTCCTTCATCACCAGGCAGTTCACTTCAGGTTGGCTGAGCTGCAGACAGAGGTCGAGCTGCTCCGCTCTCTCCTCTACCGTGCTACAGGTAGTTTCACTTAATAGACAACATAAAGCTACATGCTAATATTAGCTCAGTAATGTAGGCACCTGGGTGACTTTTAATTAGTCCTAAGTTCAGAGCAGTAGGATATATGGAAGACGCAGGAAATGTGATAGCTGTATGTTTGCATTACTAATAAGAAAACCTTGGACTAGTGTACCACAATGACATTTTATTATTATTTTATTTTAGAAACTGCACTCTGAAAGCATAAAGTACTGTGCAAAGGAGCTTTATTATGTTTGGCTTCAAGCAGCCAACTCCAAGAGTGAGTGAATCCCCATGGATGTCCACTGGAAAATGATCAGCTTACCAGCAGGAAAGAATATGATTAATGGCATTTTCTATAGAAGTGCTTAAACGATATGATATATAATAATATACCATTAAAGGTATCACAGTATTATTAAAGATTTTAATAAATGTAAGCACAGATATGATGTGACGTTTTCCTATTCATTTGCGTTTTAGCTTAATTTTGCATTCTGTTTATTAACGTGCTTATTTCCAATTTTAATATGCTAAGTAGTATTTTCTGTTTTGTATTTTCTTAACTGATTTTTTTAAATGTTTCTTTATGCATTTTTGAAAGACAAGTACGTGATGTCACAGTCAGATCCTGCCATCTTTTTTTTATGAAAGAAAGCTACTTTCATCTGCTCCCTACAAGGGCTCACCACAGAACCCAGAGCTCCACATACTTGATTTGGCAGGTTTTTACCCCGGATGTCCTTTGTGATGCAACCCCCCGAGAGATTTGTGCCTCCGCCTTGGAACGAACCAGACAAACCCAATTCCAAAAAAGTTTCTCAACTTTTTTTGGAATTGTGTTTGTATAATAGCAGGTTGAGAGTGCATGAAGCTTAGTGGACAGCAGTGGCTGCATTCTGGCACGTGCCCAGCTCTGCCAGAATGCAGTCCAAGTGCTTCACATGGCCATCTTTATAATACGAATGCATGTCTGCATCCGTGGGGTCGCTGTCCAAGCTCTTGTGATTTGTCTCTCAGTTTAAAACCCCCTCAGTGGCCAGTAGCTTTGGGTGAATTCATCAGACTGGGAACAGTTCAAGTCAAAATTTGCTTGCCCAGAAAGCAGAGCTCCCTGCGACTGTTTGGTGCAGGTGTTTAAGCGCACACACAGACACACAAATCCTTTTTTTTTTAGACGCTGAAACAGGAGAAATCATGCGGCTCACACATGTTCCTCTAGAGGGTTCCTACAATAGAGGCACTGATCAGTTGCACTGGGAAAAGGCCTGAATGGGGCAAAACATTGAATCAGAGCCAGACGCATCTGAAACTGAAACACATTTGTTTTATTGTCTGTTTTCCTCTTTTCATTCTGTCCACCTGGACATTTTTTACACTCTTCCCGGCTCGTGGCTATCCTTTGTTTTCCCTCTGCAGCGCTGTATATTAAAGGCAACGATGTCACCAAGCTGGCATCCATGGCCAAATTAAAGGGGGGACGCCTTGCCAGAGAAGTGGGCGACAGCTGTCTCCAGTACTGGGGAGGGATGGGCTACACCAGTGATGTGCTAGTCAGCCGATTTTACAGGTAAGATGAAATGAGGCATGAGACACGCTCACTCTAACGTAACTAATCTGGATTTCCTTGTTGTCATATCTGAAAATGATAAAAATGCAACGTAACCAGGTAGCCACAAGTTACTACTCTCTGCAAAACAGAAAAAAAATATTATATCTAACCCAAATCCATGACTCAGCAGCTACTGTATGCACTTTGTTAGGATATATTATTTCTATGGCACCAGCATTCAGTTTTGTTGCAGGTCTTTAATTAAGCCTTCTGATTAATGTATATTATTGTTTATTGTTTAAATATAATAGTTAATGTATATCATTTATGATTTAATGTGATTTCTTAATAATTAATGTTAAAATTGCAAACATGATTGGCTTCACTTTATTAATAATGCTTGAAAATTCTCGATGCATGCTCAATCATCCAGGTAAGGACATCCCAAAAATGATATTAAATCATTATGCAAATGTTCTGTTTATAAGGTCGGGGAAACCTGCAGTCAGCGGAGACTGAAGAAGTCCCTTGAATGAGTCACGAAACATTTCTCCCACTGAAAACGCTACAACCAGATGAACAGAAGCAACTTTTACGGAATGTTTGAAAACTTCTGAGGCCCCGTTCAGTTATTTAGTGCTTAATCAAGTAACACTTAGTTTCAGATTCCTAAGTCTTTGTTTTGCACGATGCTGACATCTAGTGACAGGGCAAATAATGCAACCGGATTGTGTAACCAAAAGTGACTGAACTTTGGGTCATTTAAATGACTTACATGCAGCTTCCTGTTTGTAATTGTGACAGAAAAAAACAAACAAGAAATTTTCCTTCTCTGCAGGGATTCCAGGTTAATGTCAATTGGTGCAGGAGCTGATGAGGTAATGCTGGGAATCATCTGCAAGTACATGGACACACTACCTGGCAAGTGATGTAATCAACGCTAACCCCAGTGGGAAAATCACTTCTGATTTGTGCACTTTGGCGTGGGTGTGGTCTTGGCAGCTGCAGAGGAGGGTGAGCAGTGAGCTCCGGGGGGCGGGGCGGGGTGGCTGTAGCTCAGGTGGCAGAGCAGGTCAGCCACGACTTCTGCACCTGAGCTACAGCCCCGCCCTGCGCCGCCCGGAGCTCACTGCGTCACCTCCTCTGCAGCTGCCAGGACCACACCACGCACATCTTGATCAGTTACTCAGATGAGGAGATTTTGCCTTTTTAACAATACTGTATGTGGTCATAAAGACATCCTCATACGGTCAATCACACAGAATAATGAAGCCCCCCCCCCCCCTTCCTTGTCTGTACACACGTGCAACAATGCAGTTTTGGTTGTATGTAATTTGTTACTTATGTAATTATTGTTTAGAATTAAGAAAAATAATGTTCTTTAATAAAAATTGTTTTATGTTTGAGATTTTCGCACTGAAGACATTTCAGCACATCCAACAGCATGAAGTTACACCAGCTAATCCAGAGCATAAAATTTGTTTATTTACATTAATATTTTTACAATAAAGATGAAACAATGACGTACACTACTGTCGCACGTGTGGTCGTCTTATGACAATAGAATGTCATAATCTAGCGCATACACTAGATTATGCAGATCATTCTATAACTTGTTCAAGTTGAACTCAGCTGATTGCTGAGGATTACAGTTCTCGACACTGCCGTATCGTCTACAGTCATAAATCATGCTCTTCTCAATCCAGGTTAACTGGTCAGATATTAAGTATAAACACCGTAAATACTGATATTGTCTGCTTCATCTATGCATACAGTATGCACTACATTTCCTGTGATTATTGATTTTCTCAGACATTGTCCTAAACCACTTATACTTTTTAGTACTCCTTTAAAAAGCATTGGTAGGCCTTTCTACACTTTTTCTCGAGTCATTGTTTGAAAGCCTGACACTGTGGCACATATTAAAGTGTAATGACTTTAAAAAAAACAAAAACAAAAAAAAAACCACATCCCTGCCTTTTCTCTTTATTATCCTGGTCTGGTTCAGATGTGTCATTGAAGCACAAACTGGAAGAGCAAAGTCCAATAAGATCCTCCTATCACCTCAACCTGATAAACCAGTACAGGACAAAGAAGACGAAAAAGCAGAAGAGCAGCATGTAGCACAGCAGTTTGGTCTGACTGCCCCGGGACAGCTTCTTGACTCTGCCGATGGTGGCACCAAGCAGGCCGCCCGTGGAGTCAAAGTCTGTGTCCTAAAGTGAGATGCAGAGAAGAAAAGTGGTAAATAGACTGATTCTTATATAGCACCTTTCTACTCTTGAGTATTCAACGCCAGGTAGGGTTAGTCGATTTGTTATCGACATTTTCTGCCATCTAACACAATATGCGAAATCCACCCATTCACACAAGCACTTTCTTCTATGATTTCAAGTGCTTACAAACCAACATTCACAAACATTCATACTCCAATGGATGGGTCAGAATGATGCATTAACTTAGGGTTAATATCTTGTCCAAGGATATTTGGCATGCTGACCAGGGGGAGCCAGGGATCAAGCCACCAACCTTCTGATTAGTAGATGACCTGCTCCACCTCCTGAGCTACAGCCACCCTGACTACATGATTACAGAAGTCCAGCGGAGAACAATATCCAAGTGCTAGGAGACATTTCTGAAGTTTACAGTGATGGTATCTGAATCATTTACTCAAATTCTTTAGTTTTGAGGGGTTTCTTAGTGACTTCTGACCAATAAGTCAAACCGAGTAGTGCGGTGCTCTGAACAGATAATTGGAGGTGAGCTTCCCTCCCTCCAAGACATCTACAGGAAGCGCTGCCTGAGGAAAGCGGGGAGGATCATCAAGGACTCCAGTCACCCCAGCCATAAACTGTTCAGACTACTTCCATCAGGAAGGAGGTTCTGCAGCATCCGGTCCCGTACCAGCAGACTGAGAGACAGCTTCTTCCACCAGGCCATCAGACTGCTGAACACGTCATAGACACCTCACCTTCACTACTGGAACTTTAACATTATGCACTCCATACTGTACAGTAATGCCACATTTTTGCACATGTCTCAACTTTGTATATTTTTATATATTTTATTTATTGTTTACTCTATTTAATTTGTAAAATATGTGTACACACACACACACACACGTAGAAAAATATTTAGTATACACATCCAGGAATACATATACTATTATATATTGTACATATATTTATTAGTTTCAGATGTAGCCATTCTTGTATTTTGCTTGTTTACATTATTGTATTTTGCACAACTCTGTTGCTTGTGAAGCTCGCACACAAGAATTTCACTCACATGTGCTGTACCAATGTACCTGCACATGTGATGTGACAATAAAAGTGATTTGATTTGACAACATAAAACAACACATAAAGCAGAAAAAATAGCTCCCTACCAACCTCAGACAACACTAAATGTTGCTTATTTTTTATTTATTTTTTGCTGTAGCAGCAAGTGGTCCAGCGTACTCCAAAGTAAAACTCACCATATCGTCCAGCATTGTGTTCTGGTATTTGACTTCTGTGCCAATGTCAATGGAGAGCTGTAAAAATCAATTCATTATGATTACGTGACTTGTAAAACACAGTAATTGAAGAAATTAGGTTACATTTTGAGTACATACAGAAACCGTTGAGTCATTTATATTAAACTCTTTGCTGCAATATTTACTGACTGTTAAACATAACAACAAAACGCTCGTAATCAGCAGTTACTTACACTTTTTAAAGCGTTGACTTTAGCCCTGAGTCCCTCCTGTAGGTGTTCATTTTCTTCCTCGTATACACTATATCCACTAGCCACATAGTTCCCAGAGCCTCCTTCACCTGTATTAAAATACATTAAGCATTAATGAAGCGTTCATGAACAACAGAGTACTCAGAGTACCAAACAACAAACATTTGTTAACATAAGCTAGCTTTAGTTAGCAACAAATGCTACGTATGAGAAAAGAGAAGCTTTGGTTTAATTGTTTGTTTCTTACCCAGTCCGGCGCGCCTCATTTTGACCCGACCGAAGCTAACACTGTCCAATGGTTTATGTTAAAAGACAAAATAAGAAGGAAGTTCGACTTCTGATTGATCCGGTAACTGTAGCACGTCTGCTCACAACACAAACGCCACGACACCCTACGGCGGCCGACGAGGACAAATGGAGAAAAACGAGTAAAAAGGAAAACCGTATGTGAGCTTGTATATGAGCTTCAAATATAATTACTATTAAATCAGTTTCAAAAATATATATATAAATTGCTCATTATGTAATGTATGTATGCCTTGTGCAACCCTGTTACTGTCATACTGAATATCCATTCAGTTTCAATACATTACAATAATAATTAATTTAGATTAATTTATGCAACTTTCAAAATCTACCTTAACTTTTCAAGGTGTGACAAATAAATACTCAGGAAAAATAACATGTTGTTTAATAATATTTATATGTTTGTGATGTTTTTTTCTATACATTTCTTTTATGTACAGTGTTGCAAATCACTGTTAGTTGGCAGTTGAAATGGAATATAAATGTAGTAAATGTAGTGTAATTGTTAGAGTGACACTCAATCTTATAAGAAAACATTGGAAAAATACAAAATATGTCATAGAGGTCTGACCTTTATACTATACATGGTGTTAGTAATTGCCTAAATCATGTCACTTATTTTTTTTATAATGTTTTTATTGTCAAGTAATTCCCTGTTTTGTCTTTTTATTTTCCACACTGAATAGGTTTCAGTAACAGGGTTGCACATATGTTATAGAATACAACTTGAAAGGCCCACACAAAAATAGTCTGATGTTAATTTGTCTGTGTACCCTACAGTGTGTCCACAGTGGGGTTGTCAAACTTACTTTATGTCATGGGCCATACCATACAGCCCAGTTTGATCTCACGTGGGCCAGACCAGTAAAACCTCTGCATAAAACAACACCCATCTAAACTGTTTCCATTCTTTAGCTGTCAAGAAGTACTTAAGAAAGCATAAGCATCAGAGAAAGACACCACTTACTCAATTCCCCTTGATATTTTCCAGACGACAGAAGGTATTGTTTTGGGTTTTCTTTGTTAAATTATTCTTTTCATTTAACGGATGAACAATTTGAGAAATCTTCATTAAAAATAATTGCGATTTCCAAAAAAACATGTTATTTTTTCTGTTCTCGTTCCGTATACAAAATTGATTTGAAGAGCACAAAACTTTAACATGTGGACTTTCTTTACTCGTGTGTAGTAAAGCTGACAAAATAAAACGAAAAGCAGTGTATTTTATTTAAAAATATAATTATTTCACTGCAGTTTTCACAATTTCCAAAGACATCCAGTGGGACAAATTGGAGCCTTTGGAAGGCTAGTACTGCCGTCCGAGTCACATATTTGACGCGGTGCTCTAAAACATATCGTCAAGTGTGTATCCCTGCAGGGAAATTTTCATAGGCTATGTAACTCACTTTAAAATTTGACAAACCCACTAACAAAGGGAAGCTTTTCTCATAAGTAAGTATATCCACATCAGGCTTTAGTCTGTGTGCCTCAAGCCCGTTGTGAGGTGACAGTATTTAAAGAGTTATAGTCATATATCGAAAGAAGCCAAAGTAACTCGGCTTTTTTCTTTTTTTTAATGCAATATAAAGCTTATGTTGTCCCTGAATTGCAGGAAAAAAACCTGCAGGAATTTTGCATAACTGTCCACCAGTCTCTGACTTCAGATCACTGTAATTTTTTACCTCTCTTCCAAGCAGAATTCCTTCTCTTACTTCTCACGACTGAAAGCAGTCAGATGCACAAACATCCCACAAAATTTCACTGGGATCTAAATCTTGGCTTTGACCACTATAAGCCATTCCATCACTCTCCATTTGTCCTTTTTTTCAACCATTTCATGGTGGATTTGCTACAGTGCCTAGGATTATGATGCTGGTAAAAGGTCCACTTCCTCTTCACCTTAAACTTTCAGACAGATCGGCTCAAAAGATCTGAAAGCTCTTTGATGTGAAACTGAATCAAAGTGACTGCAATCTACACATTACCCACAACAAAGTAACCCCAAACCAACAATTCCTCCAACATGCTTCACAAACATCTTCCCTGGAAAAGCTGTTTTTGTCCATGCCCAACAGATCCTCTGTTATTATAACCACAAAAGTATATCTTTTATTATGTCTAGACAACATTATTGTAAGCAGTCTTCGCCTGTATGTTCAATAGCAAGCTTAATATTATTTTCAGACAATAAAACCATCCAATTTGTGCAGTCTCTTTCTGAAACTTAGACACCAACAGCAGCAGTGACCTGCAGATCCTGTGATAATATCTGAGAGTGCTTGAAAACTTCTCTTTGCATTAAAGGGGTCAAATCTGCACTCAGACTACAGAGCAGCAGAAATGTCACTTTTCCCTACAGCGACTCATTCATTTCAAATAATTTTTAGATCCCCGAATGTCAGACCCCTACCATTTTTTCCTGACAACTTTAGAGATTTCTTCATATCTTGCCACACTGACATCAAAAGACTTTGTTAGCAAAGAGAGTCACAGGCTCTGGATGTCAGAGGTTCTAATCTGAGCGCCTGATTCTCATGCAATGGGTCTGAAGCTGTGATAAATGTAGGGTGTTTTATATGACTGATTTTTTCCTTTACATTATGAATATGAATCTGTGTCAGTTTCTTGTGTCTCTTGTTTTAGTATTCCTCCTTCAGGGAAGGAGGATGGATAAAGCACATTTAAAAAACAACTCACATTAATCAAAGTGTTATAAAAAAAAAAAAAAGGTAGAATGGGAAAAAAAATACAAAAAACCACCAAGGGAATAGAAAAGAAATAAATAAATGTGTGTCAGTGGGTGCTAAACATATACAGTTGTGTCCAAATAAGTCACAGGAAACACAAAGAGCAATCAGATGGACTCAAATGACTGATTAGTTTTAAGTCTAATTTTAAAAGACTCACTGGACCCCGTGGACATAGAACTGTTGATGATGGAGAGGCTGCTTGGACCAACAAGTACACAGTGTCTTGTGTGCAGGTTGTGGATTTTATGGAGGAAACAAACCTAGCAAGGGAGAATAGTGTAGTGGGTTGAGGCAGGTCATAGGTTAACTGGTTATTAAAAATTCAGGACAGGTGCGAGTATCAGTGTGAATGGTTGTTTTTACCTGTGTTAGTCCTACAAAAGACTGGCAGCCTGTACAGGGGGTGTCCTTCTGTTCTCTCTATGATAGCTGAGGTGGGCTCAGCTATCATAATTAAAAATATTCTACAGGGACTCATATTATGTCGAGACTGCACTAGCTTTAATGAAATTCAATGTTGTTTGAAACTTTTCTTGCGTGTTCATCTGTATGTGCTCTGGATCTCTTCTCATAACATAAAAACAACAGTCATCATTCATGCTTTTGGTTGCCAAGCTCATGGGATCCGCACGCTTCGACACAAAGACATACTAAATATAGGAAAACAGTCTAAAAGAAGAAAACCGCTGATTCTTTTTTGCATCTCATGACCATCTTTTAAACACTGCCAGCCTAAAAGTGGTACACGTCAGCAGGCAAACACAGACAGATGTTTTCCTTTGAAGAGTTTTTAACGCAATCACCATAAAATGGAAAGAAATCTTCTTTGTGGGTTGAATAACACGGGCTTACTGACACATCCATCTGCGCTGCATGGGACAGAAAAGAGTTTCTCAATATTTGCAAAATCCTAGAGGTGCTGTTTAGCAGTGATGAGCTTTTCTTATCCCCTCATACATCATCGCTCACCTAGCTCTGTGCCAATATCGTAGGAGACAGCTAATATGATATAAGAGATTAGAATGACTTTCGTGACGTTAATTTATTCCAATCCAATATCTTATAAATACATAAAACTTTAAGCTCCCCTCTGCCATAATGCATTTCAATGCCCCAGCAGTCATCTTTTTATGTTTCAGCCAACGGCTTTGCTGTATGCATGACCTTGACATGAGTCAAAGAAAGGGAGGATATTGATTGAACTGTGTGCACCAGTCTCAGGTGTCTTTGTGTATCTGAGAGGATTAGATTTATTAAAAAGATCTTTAGAGTGGAGAAAGGCTTCTGGATGTCTAGAAACTGGCATTCATCTTCAGTGAATTGCGTGGATGCAGAACAGCCTGGCTGCACTGATCAGCATGCACAGTCCCTGAGCCGTTCTTCACAAACAGTACAGTTTGCACTTTGCACAGATGTCTTTTCATCCTCTTGAGATATCTAAGAGTTTTCAAATGGTGCTTGAAATCTCCACAACAGATTTGAACGTGCTGTGGTAAACAGTACTGCAGTGAGGACGTTTATAGCTCCCAATTTAACAGACTCTAAGATTCTTAAGAACTTATTATATAGTATCTGTAATAATTAGAAGAAATTGTTAACATTTTATAGAAAGTGCAATTTTTGTTGGTACAGTGGGTACTGTTTTCTAGTCTGAATACTGCATACAAAGTCATTACTTACGGTGAAGATAAATACACTGCTCGATAGCATAGGTACAAATGGCTAAAGTGGCATATCTCATAGTTAAAGTGTGGAAAAAATGTCAATTTGAGCTTTTTCTGGTGTATTTTGTGGGAACTATCCAGGTGCTGGTACTTTCAAGAACACCACTGATGTTAAATGCTACAGCTAGATGTTTTCTTTGTGATAAGAACAATTAGTTTGGTGGTTAAATGTTAGCTTGATTCATTTCTGACCGCTAATTATTTCTAATAAATTCCCTGTTTTACAAAAAAAAGAAGAAGAAAAAAGCAGTTAAAAATGTTAATATTAAAGAGCATTTTTATAAGCAGGACAGGTTCCTGCTTAAAAATCAAAGCTACTGAGACCTGATCACTGCGACTGACTTCTCAGATCATCTGATCAAGCTCTCTTTATTGTTCTGTGCTCTTACTTTAAAACACATATTTGAGCCTCAGCCTGTCAGGTCGGCTGAATCTTTAAACAACAGCTGAAAACTCATTTTGATTGGTTAGTTTTTCCCTAATTCTTTCTGCCATTGTTTGGGACATAGTTTGCATGTACCGTGTATGTTGGAATGAATGTCTGACTGTATGATTGACTGTGAGTCTTTATGATGAGCATACTTTATCTTTAATGTTATTAGCAGCAGTAGTGGTAGAAGTAA